GATCTCACGAAGCATTGTGAATTATGTAACTGAATCAAAAAGGATATTTATTGCAAGTTTATTCCAAAAATTTTAGTTTTTACCTCTTGTTAAAGAAGTGTGCTTAATTCTTCCGAAAGTGCACTTGTAGTGTACTTCTTTTTTTTAATAGTATATATATATATATATATAAAACTGTACTTGCAGGTAATATATTAATGAAATAAAAGGCATCTTAATTGTACTGAGAGTGCGTAGTTTTGTGACTGTCTTAACACATTTAAAGTGATAGTTCACCCAAAAAGAAAATCCTGTCAACATTTAGTGTTTTACCTCAAGTTGTTCCAAACCTGTATGAGTTTCTGTCATAAAAGAAGATATTTTGAAGAATGTTGGTAACCAAACCATTGGCGGTGACCATTGTCTTCCATATATATATATATATAAAAAAAAATACTAAGTCAATGGCTAACATCAGCTCTTTGGTTGCATTCTTAAAAATATTCTTTTATGCTCAACAGAATACTAATTTTAAGTATGCTAAAGTGTATTTTTACGATGGGAGTGGACAATCACTGCTGAGCTCTTGCAGGATTTCCATTCCCACAGTAACATCTCTGATTGGTGGATCTCTCTTCATGGATTATGGGTAGTGAGGTTCCTTATTAGTAATTCAGCCATTGCACTACCCAAATTTGTACAAATGAACAAACACAGAAGCATATATCATCACTTAACAACTCTTAAGCTCATAATGGGGATGAGATTTTTACTTGCAGTGCCCTACTGTTCCACTTTACTGTGAATAGGACAGGAATCAAACTACTGACCAGCCTCGAGATTTCTTGGAGAATGTCGACAGGGTTCAGTCTACAGAGACAAAACGAAAAGCAGTCCTTTTACTGGCATACTCCAGTGTGCCTGACATCTGAAGGCGTCTATAAAGCATGCATTGTTAATATGACAGCAGGTTTATTGATCAGTAAATGTCCATTCATTGATTTGGTGCTTGTGGACAGCGCCTTAGTGCTGAAATAGTGTGGACAGTGTCCGGGATCAAGAGCATTTTCCTGATTCCACATTCACAAATCCAGATGCAGAAACAGTAGGAAATAGGATAATAAACAGGCTAACTTAATTATCAGCTTGATGTGATGGACTTTATTAGCCTATTAGTATCAATGCAAAAGCCGGCATGTTAAAAATGTATTTCTTACGACTCAAAATAATAAAATGACACCTTAGTTTAGAGGACAAACCCAAATCATGACTATGTTCACTCTGAATCGAAATACACAGCATGAAATGTCTGAAATAACACATTGGGCGGCATTAATATTGCGCGATATTTATCTGTAAAGCTGTCAAAAAGCAAGTCCGCATTGTCTTCGCCATTAAAATGGGAGATAGCGCGTCATTTAATAAAAGGTTTTAATCACTTTATTGTGAACGACGAGTATAAAAGCCATACCTTGTAGACAGCACACTCTTCTGTCGCGTATAAAGCCCGTGTCCTCTTCATTTCATTAGGACTGCGAGACAGACATCGTTTGCATTGGGTTGTCTGAGAGAGCCGGTGAACGGGTTTGGCTTTACCGAGAGAGAAATGCGCTGTGAAGTCTTTACTGCACGGCTTGGGCCGACGGACTCGGTCTGGTATTTCTCAGACAGACATTGCGCGCCATGGATCTTACGAGTCATGTCCGAATCGCAGACGAGTCGTTCTTTTGAACCGGTTCTTTTTAAGGATTCAAACGAACCGATTCGCAAAGCATTCGGACTTCGCCGCGGATACAGCGCTACACCAGACCACAGGTTAGAATCGAATAGAATCGAATGGAATGATTTTTTTTTTTAAATAAATGAAACCAACTTTATTTAAATACGTTTTACAAGAAAATACAATTTAGTATCTCTACTTAAAATTTCACGTTTGAAGTATTGTCGTTTCTTTATAATTATTTGTCAAATTTCTAAGGCTACTAACAATTTCTGAATGAAGTAAGTCCTAAATATGTTTTTTGTTTTGTTTTGCTTTTCATGGTTTGTGAATAAAAGCGTAATTATAACTACATATGCAAAGTGAAACCATTATGAAAAGTAAAACAACCTGTTTTGTTGTCGTTAGGTTGTCTTATCTTTTGATCATTTAGGCTATTCCACCTTTGTCAAATACACATTTACGAACACCAAGGCTCTTACCATGATATTAAAAATAAAACTAAAACTAAATGCAAGCTAAAAGTAGGCTAATGACTTTCGAAAGATAAAATCGAAATCAAAACTACGCGCCATCAACACTAACTCAAACGAAACTGAAATTAAAAAACGAAAATACAAAACAAACATAAAAACTGGTCAAATTTTTTAACAACCCTGACAGCAAAAACAGTGTTTCTATAGCGTTAGATGTGAATTCCTGCGCAGCGCAAGAGGATACAATAACCATGTGAAAGAACAGTGCTTTTTCAGAAGATTTCACTCTTTTTTGTGACAGTTTGTTAAAGTTAACGTGTTGGTGTGTTCACTTACCATTAAACACACACAGGAGCTGATCAGGGGTGCGTTTCTCAATAGAAACTATGGTCAGAAGTTCCGTCATTACCAATAGAGTTCTATGGAATTAACGAGTCAGTATTGGGGAATGGCGAGTCTTACAGCACTGCAATGGGACCAGTTTAACCAGTGTTTAAGGTGCTGTTACATAAGCTAAAGTCACTCAATAACCTATACGTTTTAATAAAAGCCAAGGTGTCTCAAATGCCATTCTGTAATCTAAATATAGAATTAGGCTATTAAATAATAACTCCATGAATTACAATAGCTAATATAAAAATCTAGATTTTTCTTCGAGTGCATACAAATGTAGCTACAACTACTTTAGCCGAAAGCTATAGTTGTGTGGAATCACATTTTGGAAACGCAAATACAAGTAAATAAAAAATCCCCACAGACTCATGGGGACTCGTGTCACGGTGGGGACCTAAATTGTGGTCCCCACGGGTACAAAAGCTTATAAATCATACAGAATGAGTTTTTTGGAAATCTAAAAATGCAGAAAGTTTCCTGTGAGGGGTAGGTTTAGGGGTAGGGTTGGTGTAGGACAATAGAATATACGGTCTGTACAGTAGAAAAACCATTACACCTATGGAGGGCCGCATTAAGACCTCACTAAGGTCTTAATAAGAGCCCCGGGGCTATGACTTATTGCAGGGCCCCCCATCACAATAATGATATATATAGCTTAAAATAGGATTTTTATCCAAT